GGTCTTCAAGCTGCTTCCGAACAGCGCGTCCGATGAGATGGGGCCCTCCATGAGGTCCTTGTGCAGCTTTTCCGGCAGCAATGGAGAGTGACGGAGCCAGATGGAGCGTTGGATTACCGTCATCCATGAAGCAATCCTCGACAGGCAAACCGTGGAAGTGGCGCACATGTTGAGGACGGCGTCTGCCGATTTACACAGGGAGCTCTTTGTCTCCTCCGGCAGGTCTGAGGCCTCCAGCCTCTTCGACATGCTAAATGCTAACAGCGCCACGTTGTTGTTAGCCGCGGCCGCCTGAAAAGCACACTGGTGGGCTCTGTTGGAGAGCGCGGTCGCCACCTGGTCGTGTTTCCCCGGAGGGACGGGACGCTTCTCCAGCCTGGACATCTTGGCTCCGAAGGCTTCCGCGAGGCTTGGCTCAAGGGGGGGTACCGAGGGATAGCCCCGCTCGGTGAACCCCTCCACTCTGGTGATGGGGGCGTAAGTGGAGACGGGCGCCCTTAACCTACCAGGACCGGCTGCGGCCTCGTTCCAGTACGCTGTCACCGCTGGGAAACGAGGCCAAATGGGATCAGGACGGCGAGCCGGCGTGGAGCCAAACCTTCCCGCAAGATCATCCGATCTGAGCGGGGGGGGGGGGGGGAGGGGACGGAGAGCCCCTTAACGCTAGCAGCTTCCCGGATAATGGCGGGCAGCTCCGAGAGGAGCGCGCCCACGGCAGGGAGCGATGTGGTCGCTGAAGCGGGAAACCCCGGGGGAGTCGAGCATCCGCTCGGCCTCCCTCTTTCCAACACTGTGCTCCCCGGGGGGGAACAAGCGTCGGGGCTGCTGCTAGCGTCACCGGTCCCAGAGGAATCATCCGATTCACTCCGAGAGCCGGCGTCGAAGAAATCCATGGCGTCGTCCAGCGAACAGTCTCCCGCCACGGACAGGCAGTCCTCGATGGTAGCCTTAAACAAGGCTGCTCTCCTCTGCCTTTCCTCCGGTGGAAGCTCGTCACAGAGGCGGCAGGAGGAAGCGCGAGCGACGTGGCGGGGACCCAGGCATCCCTCGCAGGTGTCGTGCCGGTCGAAGCTAAGCAAGTAGCCGGTCTTGCAAGAGGGACACAAACGGATGGTGCTGGAGCTGGACATCTCGACGAAAAGGTCAGTTGTTCTTTGTTTTATTATGCTTGCTGAAGAAAAATGGGAGCAGATTACCCGCTCTTAACGTAATTTATACGGATCGGGTGGGGCCCACACAGCAGGTGGGCGTGGACTAATTTTTTTCAGTACGATGCTTGCGCATAACGGGATAAACCCATCAGCGACAGCCTTAAAGGGCGAAGCCTATATGACATAGAACGTACTCCTTCGTATAAGAAGTAAAGTAAGCTCTGCAAAGAGCGATACAAAAAAAAAAAAAAAAAGACGGATTTTAACGTGTGATCGTTTAGTTGCAAGAACAAACCACAAAACGATAGAAAGAGTTCTGATGCATGCTCAATTATCCAGCTAGATAAATCTAAGAAGGTCGAGTCAGGTCCTCTGGATGGTTCTTCTTTGGTGAAACGGTTTGTCTTTTATCCAAAAGACAGACTGAAGAAGTCATTTGGATGAAACCATTCCAATGAAGAAGACCCATCCAGAGGACCTGACTCGACCTAGTTCGACAGAGGAACGAGTAAAACTGAGGGTTTGCATCCTCAATGAACGTGTTTGTGCTTCTTTTATCTCCCTCAACCCCTAATCTCATTAATCTCATTAATCTCATTACACAAGTGTAATGCCAATCATGACCGGTCAGGCCAATCAGAAAGGACACTTGGCAAACATGCTTAATGAACACTAATTTACACCAGAGAGAAAGAAAAGCGTGTCTCATAGGCAGATATGAAACATATTTAGCCGCCTTAAATATTTCCCTTTTTACATTTCCTTTGCTTGAATCTGTGACGTCAACATCATAAATGATCAGAAACACTTATTTTTCTCGGAGTGTAAGAATTAATAATGATGTTGGCTCACAACAGGACTATTTGATCTGTGTTTGCCTTAAAGAGGCAGTTTGGACCTTTGGCTCTTTGAACGACCTCCGTTTGGAGAACTAAAAGCTAAATCCTGACTGGACTGATGAGCTCAGCTCCAAGAGGTTCAAAGAACTTGCACAGGTACGACAGCGATGGCTTTTAGCTTTTCCACACTTTACAAGATCTGAATTATTCACCATTTATTGATTAAATTAAAGAGGCACACAAAAACAAACGGAACGTTGTATTGTGCCCATCAGGGTTTATAATGGGCTAATGGATCTACGGTTTAATTCTAATAAAGCCTTTAAAAGGACCACATGCAAAGTTAGACAAACTCTGTCACTGTGTACTTGTATTTAGATGGGTTTTTTTTTATGTTACATAAAATAAAACCAAAATATTCAAATACCAGAGCAACTCCAAAGTGACAAACATTTATCTGTACATAAGGATGGGTAAAATGATTCATACATAAATAATACAAGGATGAAATTGTTGCTAAAAATGTACAAAAATTGAAACTATTTAAAAATGTAATTAATGTTTTAAGTCGGAGTCAATTTTCTTCGATGTATAGCTGCGTGTCAGGTACAATAACCTTAACAGATGAGGATTTCACATTGTTTCATGCTTTCCTTTATCCTGAGTTAAACCAGTTTAATTTGCTATGAAATGGGCGATGTTTGTCTTGTTAGGCTACAGCAGGACAAACAATTGAACATGAGTTTAGTTTATTATATAAAAACAATAAATCAGTGAAGAAAAGTCTGAACAAAGCAGCAACATCTAAATCATCACTCCATGTATCCGCACCTCCAAAAGGAATAGATAATGAAGTCATTCAGGCTCTGAATAGTTTGATTTGTTTTCAGTTTTCTGATTGGAATGACCTGCAGTAGGAATGAGTTTTATTAAAATACATTAATAAATAAAAAGAAATAAAAAGAAAGGAGATTAAATCTTTTCTTTTTAAACATATTGTTGTGTATGCTGGTGAAGATTCTCAGTCATCCAGGACATGATGAATTCAAAAAGCGTTCAATACAACAACAACTGGACTTTATGAAGTCCAGTTGTTGTTGTATTGAACGCTTTTTGAATATTGTTGTGTACTTTACGTCCCACCATCTTTTGCATTAGCTTCTGTTAAAGGGAAGCATGTGGTCTTACTCGTCATCTCATAAAACACTTGAGAATGAGCAGCCGCCTCTAAAAACTCATCAAAGCTGTTTTTAAATACTTTTTTGAAATATCAACCCTTGAAATGAAATAATGCTATACCAGTCTTTCATGCATTTGAAAATACCCTTTTGAAACGCTACGATAAGAAATGATTAGTATAAAAACCTAAAGAAAGTTTAGATTGAAGGCTCCTCACTGCACCTTAGTTGCAGTGAGGAGCCATGGAAAGGCTATGAATATAAAATGTCTTACCTGCTGTAGATACCTCTTTGAACATTTTCAGTTCAATTTAATTCTCATGAGCCAACAGTTAGTCTGAGTGGAGTCAACACCAAAGGGAATTGTTGTCAATTTAAAACACTAATGTTAAAAAAAAACAAAAAAACATCTTAGTTGTTCATGCAAACTCTATTTTATAAACCCTTACATTAGCCTAGCGTAGCATATATAAAAATAAATAAAACGCTCTAAAAGAGCACAGCATGTCATGATTTCAGCTCTCTGCCTCCACTGCTTTCTGCAGCGCTCTTGGCCACGCCCACTTCTTCGCTGCAGAGCGGAGATCAGCTGATCAGCTGCAAGAGGAATATTCTGCAGCTGTGGGCTGCACACAGACCTGTGCACCTGCTCTACATAATTTATTAAAACATTTATTTTAATAAAAACCTCATGCCGATCGTGCGGCTCATCCATCAATCAGCCAATTTTGTCATGTCCAGTCTTACTTTGAAAAACCGCGATAGAACGAGGCCGCAAAAAACGAACTGTGAAGTAGCGAGGGACTACTGTATATGAAAACAAACTAGCCGTTAGTTCACTGATTTAGTCTGAATGAAACTAAATTTGAGGAGCTGTCCACCACAAGCAAGATATTAACTTTTCTTAACTATAACTACCCAACAAATTCCCACTTTTAAAGATCTGAACTATATCGCTTTGATGTAATCTTTGCTCAGTATTTTAATTTTTTTTTTAAAGTTCTATAGTCGTAGCGCAGCAGCCCATCTTTTATCTTATTTTCCCTAAATATTTGAAATACCATCCGAGTACCGTTGTGTTTTTAAACGAGCTCCATAATGTCATGGAAGAAATGATAACCTGGTAACCCCAAGGTGTGGTTCAACGACTCATGCACCTTAGAGAGAAGAGCGCATAAAAACAAGACATGCCACTTTTACTTAAATCCATAAGGCATGAGCTCACCATCAGTCCAATCATATCTAAAATACAAAGTTAAACTTTTAGAGAAGTAGTTGCTGGTTTGCTCTTCGTTTCCGTGTGTTTGCAACCAAAACAGCAGTGTTTACCCACCTGCATGGCAAAGCAGGTTCAGCAAACAGCTGACAGTTCAAGGCCTCTTTCAGGTTACACACTCTGCAGGGTCAAGAGACGCACACAACCAGATGAGCTTATGGTGATTCATGCACTGCAGCTTCTATAAAAGAAGGGCAGTATGCATAAATGCTGCAGAAATACTCTGCACCTTCAGGTGGGATGTGTCAGTAATGTCAAACAGGGAACAGTCTGTTCAGGGTGATCCACTTTCTGACAATTTAAAGGGAACAAAGAAATGTGTGTGTGTGTGTGTGTGTGTGTGTGTGGTGGGGGGGTGGGGGACTTTCTATCTCATGCAGGTAATTTTGCCATGATGTAACTCAGACCTGTCTGCCTTCTCGTGGAGGCTGTGGCCCCGTCCATTGCACACACACTGCAACGCAATTGGTCGAGGGCCGATGCACGAAATGCCGCATTTCCCGGCGTAGTAAAACGGATCAAGATGAGCTCGAGTCATTTGCAGGCAATCACCCACCTTTAGATTCGCAGTCGGCACAGTATTTGTTCTCCTCCAGCGCCAGAACCGAGTTGAGGACCGCCTGATATCTGTCAACGTCTTTCACAGATTTGCCCGTCATCGCTGCAAAGTCCCTCTCCTTCCTTCCTTCCGCAGTCGGTGCCGGTGTGTGGCTCTTCTTGGCAAAGCAGCTCCTCACTTTCCAAAATGAAAGCGGGGAAGACGCGATGCGCTCAGTTCCTCCTCTGTTTCCTCCTCCTCGATGAAGAGCCCAGTGAGTCTGTTGTACCACAATGGGACGAGAGCCTTATCAGCCAACCGGCGTGCGGTTTTCTGTGATGTACCCCAATCAGAAAGCAAGCGCACAGGAAAACAGACACGTGATTTCCAAGATTTAAAATGCGCTTTCGACTTTAAGCACATCTGTAACCTATCACCGAGCGCTGGAGGTTCCGTCTTATTATTGCAAGATCACGCACCTGTACTGCCATCGTGTGGCCAATTAGAGCATTGCATGTGAGACTAAATTGTTGTTTTTCTCCTGGACGCACGAGAGCACTCGAGTTCAAACTACAAGAAGTAGGAAGCAAAACCCAACTTCCGTATCGAGTCGATATGAAATTGTCGTGCCTTCAAAATAAATCACACACGTTGTTTTTCATACATTAAACTAGAAATATGCAATACTTATAATAAAATAAATGTTATTTACACATATAAATATTAAAATTATTAAATACAGCAAGTATATTTATAACCATTTAGAATTCTACATCATTTTCCTGCTGTGCTTTTTGTTTATTCTGAAGTAAAACCGGAAGTTTAAGTCTCAATTTGGCTAACTTTCTTACCGGAAGTTAGCGGCCAAGCTGGTGATTACGGAAGTAGCTGTCAAATAGGACTCAAATAAATAAATAAAGGATTAATCTCGGATTACCACCTGTGCAAGCCTGCATCTTTTCCCACAATGTCTCGGCAGTCCAACCGATCAACAGACAGCAAAAAGATGGTAGGTGACTTCCGGCCCGCAGGATTAACAGCGAACAAGCTAACTAACTAGCAGAATGCTAACCGTAGAAATTACATTCTTTAATCAACTACTTTTATTCTTTGTCTAGGCCGCTTGACAGTCGTTCGTTGTTATTCAGCATTTGTGGGCAGAATGTTTAAATACATTTGAACCTGTTACAGTTGTGTCCCATTCATTAATCTGCAAATACTTGCAGTTCGTTGTAGCACTCAAGCTAAAAAGATGCTGGAGAACCTGGATGCATGGACTTTGTTGATGCTGGAGAATACCTTTTCAGTCATATAGGAAGGTCTAGGTCATCGTGTTTAAATTGTATGCATTTGTTTTTATTCAGTTTTCTTTCATTGAATAACGTTTTATTTTATCCTGATGCATACTCAATAGAGTCACCAGGACTCTGTATCACAGAGCAGACAGCATCCCCACTAGCTCAGGAGCCAGGCAGAAGGAGAAATCCTACACAAGACAGGCTCTAGAGCAATGTGGATATCCTAACTGGGCCTTCCTGAAAGCAGAGAAGAAACCCAAACAGGACTCCAGTCATCCATCAGGTGAAAAGGAGGAACCCAGACCCAGACCAGTGGTCATTCCATATGTTGAGGGAGTATCAGAGAAACTGAGACGTTTATTTTCTAAACATGATGTCCCAGTGGCTTTTAAACCCCAAAATACATTACGGCAAAGACTGGATCATCCCAAAGATCCAGTCCCCCGGCACAAACAGAGTAATGTTGTGTATGCTGTTCAGTGTCAGGAGGGCTGTGATCAGTCTTACATCGGGGAAACTAAACAGCCACTGGCCAAAAGGATGGCCCAGCACAGAAGATCAACATCATCAGGCCAGGACTCTGCGGTCTACACTCATCTCCAGGCCAGCGGTCACTCTTTCAGGGATGAAGATGTTCACATCCTGGACAGAGAGGAACGATGGTTTGAGAGAGGAGTAAAGGAGGCCATCTTTGTGAAAAGAAATCGTCCATCATTAAACAGGGGTCTCTTCAAAGGAACAAAATTGAACAATTTGCCTAGAGACCAACTTAGAAGCCCCGTAATGCTGGATGGAATCGATGTAACAAAAAAAACATGCTCCAACAAACTCATAAGAACTTGTCTGCAGAAGATCACTCTGCCTCCTGGTAGATTTTTCTGGTCTTCCATATTTGAAGGAGTTAACTGGAAGCAGATGTGGTTAAATGGGGAAAAATTTTGCATAACAAACAAAGTTAAAGAGGTTTCATATAAAATTATTCATAATGTATATCCTGTTAAAAAAACACTGGAAAGATTTAAACTTGACATTGACTATTCTTGTACATTCTGTGAACTACACATAGAAACGATTTCTCATTTATTCTATCAATGTGTTCATACAATCTCATTCTGGAGAGATGTGCAACAATTCATACAGCAAAAAACTGGACAAATAATTCAGCTTACAGAGAAAGACATTATACTATGCTTTGAAGACAAAGGCACGAATAAAGACTTATTGCACTTCACCCAACTTCTACTTCTCCTGGGAAAGTTTCACATTCACAAGAAAAAATGGTCCAACTCCAAACCAAACATAACCCATTTCAGCAAAGAACTTCTTCAATACATCACCTCAATTAATGGACTGGAAAACCAAAAGGCAATGAAAACCATCTCAACTCAGGAAAAGCTTAATGTGAATTTAAACTCTGTATAAATTTTAAATATAATTTCATGTTTTTTTATGTTTTGTACTTGAATATTATCTCTTTTACATTAATATCTATACCCCTGGCAAACAGATGTTTGTAATGTTTGATTAAAATCTTTAATAAAAAAAAAAAAAAAAAAAAATCATTAAACAGGGGTGGAGGCCTCCGGGTTCAACTGTTCCCCTCTTAGAATGCTGTGATTGCTAGTATCACTCAGCCCTCTGTGAACAGTAAACAGCCATCAGTGTGCTAATGATCCATTGTTAGGCTGATGGTCCTTCTTGAGCATGTGATCAGCTGGTTTTGTTTGTCAGCAGCAAACTGGTTGATCCACTCTGAGAAGGTGCTATTTAAGAGACTGAGCTGAATACAGCTCCTCAGACTGAGGAAGTCTCTCGAATGAAAGACGAAACGTTTCTACATTTTTTGTTGTTGTTTTGCTTTATTTTTTTGAATGTTCAGAGGACCAGATTTAACTTTTTAAAACGTTTTATTTTATTAATTGTTTTAGATCTGTGATGTTTGCAACTTTTTGCGATTAGATCTCAAAAATTGACTATAGTAGAGCTATACAGTTTTGTAGTAATTCTATCAGAGACTGTGACAGTCATATCCAAATATTGTAAGTAAGCCCATAACATATTTAAGCTACAGAAATTACTGTAACACCAAAACAGTGCAACAAAACCAAGGCTTCATAGTTTAAAATCTTGTGAAAAATAAAAGTATTATGCTTTTAAAACTGCAGGTAGGACACAGCATTTTGAGCTAAATAATAAATGTGTAGAATATATTTATGGCACAATGTATACTGCTTTTAAAGTGTTAATTTTAATTTAAACATTGTTAGTATTGCGGTTGAGTTTCTGGTTGATAAACTGACTTCCTGACACAGAAAATAAAGCTAAATATCTTTTTAAACTAAACCACAATAACACATTTAATTGTTGATAATAAAATATTTTTAAATTTTGTGAAGTTATTGTTATCTTTATGATCTCATATCAGCTTGTTGGTATTCGTAGGTAAATTGTGACAAAAGGATTAATGAAATTCACGTTCTGTTTTTGTTTTAGAACTCTGAGCTGTTCACTTTGACCTATGGAGCCCTGGTCACCCAGCTTTGTAAAGACTATGAGAATGATGAGGAAGTCAACAAACAGTTGGACAAGATGTAAGTGCATTACAGTACAAGTACAGTACATTTATTAGCCATCTAACCCACATATAGTCTTCTTTCTTATTATTATTTTGGCTTTTCCCTCTTCAGGGGCCGCCACAGCGAGTCATCCTCCTCCATCTCGCTCTGTCCTCTGCATCCTCTGTCCTCACTCCAACTATATCCTCAGTGTTTCCCCTAGTTAGCTTGCCATGGCGGGGTGCTAATCTTATCCATGATTTTTGCTCATGCGGGGGACAGTGACATGTCTGAGCGCAGCTTGTACTAACAGTTTCTGAGTGGGGGCGGTGAGTGTTCTACATGAGGGAAGAGCCAATGTGAGTGCTGCCTTTAGCTATTTAGCTAGAGAGCCTGTATTTTGCGCCGCTAGCTTAGTGATAATTTATGTAAGTGCCGGGTAGGGGTGGGAGGGGCAAGTTCAGTTTGGTAGGCGGGGTGCTCAGTTCTGTTGACGGGGTGGGGCACCCCGCCTGTATAATGGTAGGGGAAACACTGATCCTCTTACTGCTTCCATATATCTCCTCTTTGTTTTTTTCCTGGCAGCTGCATTTCTAACATCCTTCTACAAAAAAAACCAATGTCCCTCCTCTGGACATGTCCAAACCATCTCAGTCTGGCCTCTCTAACTCGATCTCCCAGTTGTTCAACCTGTGCTGTACCTCTGATGAGCTCATTCCTAATGTTATCCATCTTTGTCACTCCTAAGGAGAACCTCAACATCCTAATTTCTGCCACTTCCAGTTCTTTCTTCTGTCTTTTTGTCCATGTCTCTGTCTCCAGACCATACAACATGGCTGGTCTCACCACTGTCTTGTAAACTTTTCTTTTGACTTTTGCTAATACTCTTTTGTCACAAATCATTCCTGAAACTTTTCTCCATCCACTCCATCCCGCCTGGATTCTCTTCTTCATCTCTTCATCACATTCCCCATTGTCCTTGACAGTGGACCCCAAGTACTTGAAGTCCTGCACCTTTGTGACCTCTGCTCCTTGTAGCCTCACTGTTCCACCTCCTCCCTCTCATTCACACACATGTACTCTGTCTTACTACGTCTGACTTTCATTCCTCTTCTTTCAAGTGCATACCTCTACCTCTCCAAGTTCTCTTCCACCTGTTCTCACCACAGATCACAATGTCATCTGCAAACATCATCGTCCACCGGGATTCATGCCTGACCTCATCTGTTAGTCGGTCCGTCACCAGAGCAAACAAGAAGGGGCTCAGAGCCGATCCTTGATACAATCCCACCTCCACCTTGAAGCTATCTGTCACTCCTACAGCACATCTCACCACTGTCCTGCTATCCTCATACATGTCCTGTACCAGTCTAACATACTTCTTTGCCACTCCAGATTTCCTCATGCAATACCACACCTCCTCCCTCAGCACTCGGTCGTATGCTTTTTCTAAATCCACAAAGACACAATGGAGTTCTTTCTGACCCTCTCTGTACTTCTCCATCAGCATCCTCAAAGCAAAGATGGCATCTGTGGTGCTCTTTCTCAGCATGAAACTATACTTCTGCTCACAGTCACCTCTCATCTAAGTCTAGCTTCCACAACTCTCTTCCAGATCTTCATCTTGTGGCTAATCTACTTAATTCCCCTGTAGTTGCTACAACTCGCACCCTTTTTCTTAGAAATGGGCACCAGTGCGCTTCTTCTCCATTCCGCAGGCATTTTCTTGCCCACAAATATGCCATTGAATATTTGAGTCAAAAACATCACTGGCATCTCTGTCTTACCCACCTACAGTATAGTCTGAAAACAAGTTCAAGTTATAATGCACTTGAGATTTTGTGTGGAAAATGACATTTTTATCACTGCTTGGAAACATTCTCAATGCGAGTTTCGCACCCCTATTCTGTATGTCCTGTGTGGTAAGATGTAGCATTGTGTTTAACACAAATAACATACACTAATTTAGTCAAAACATTATGACCACCTGCTTACTTTTTGAATAGGCCTTCCTTTTATTGCTAAAACAGTTCTTGACCTCACTCCTTTGGAACGTTGCTAGTCCACTTGGTTACTTGGCAACACGTTCTTGAAAATCCTGTAAGCTGTGAGGTGAAGTCTTTATGGGGTGGCCTTAATTGTCCAGCACATCCCTCAGATTCTTGATTAGATTGGTCTATTTCAAAGGCTAAAACAAGTTGTGTTCTTCAGAACATCCTTAAAGGAAGTTCTCAGAGATCAAAAAGTTCATTCAGCCATCAGTGAAAACTGTTTTGTTCAGGAAATTACATCAATGTTCGTGTTTCGATAGATTGCATTTTTTATTAACAGTAATTTTCGTGATAAAATCCATGTTTTCCCACTCAAATTCAACTCATTCTTAAACTATGTTTTAGCTACAGTAGCCCCTTTACAGGATTACAACGTGACTTTGCTCACCGACAGTTTCACAGGTCATTCTCCTTTAAACTATTTTTAGACGTTTTGGACTACTGTCTTTGTACAGGAGAGGACATGGACATGTTATGATTCATGCCAGAGTTTCTCAGATTTTTATGCTTGCTCATTTTGTTCTGCCACCAATGCATTTAATTAAAAAAAAAAAAACAATTAAAAAAATAAACAGCAACATTTATTTGCATCACTTCTTGCACTCACTGTCAGGTTTCATGTTCATTAATGATTGCAGCCACAGTGTACATAATGTTTTGGCAATTCTGTTATCGTTCAACGATCCTAATTTGAGCAGTTATTGATTCGGGTCAATCAGATAAAGCTTGCTGCTTCCAACACAGTCATAATGTTACCATCATTCAGATTTTAACCTCACATGCCACAAATTCTACTGTAATATATTCAGCAACATATAAATAAGTGTAGTACCTCACAATAATGTACTTAAAGAGTTAAAATTTGTAGCCTAAAAATTGAAACATCCTCTCAGATGGACAGATCTTTGTACTGTATGCATTTTATTTTTCTGGTTGTGCAGCAACCCCTCAGATAAATCTGGGTTTAAATTGCCCTTAGAAGGTAGTAACTCTGCACTGCCCTCTCTGTGGTTTTCCATCTCGCTGTTCAGAGAAAGTCCATGTTGGGTTCGGGAGGAATGAGTTGGCTTTAAACTGCAGTGAAGATCAAATGTCTTAAATCTTCTGTCAAAAAAGTTATTTGATGTAAGCCACAATTGTATGAAACAAAAATGTCTTGAGGGTTTAGGATTTGTTTTATTGTCTTGACGTTCAGTTTAATGTGTTGGTTCTTCCTTTTCTTTTTCACAGGGGTTATAACATTGGGGTGCGTCTGATCGAGGACTTCTTGGCACGTTCCAGTATTGGTAGATGTCAGGATTTCCGAGAAACGGCAGACGTCATCGCCAAGGTAAGCGAAAGGTCTCCGAGCATTCTGAGCGTGACCGTGGATGTCTCCCAAGATCGAGGGAAGAGGACGAGAATGGAGGGTGGGAGGGGCGGAAAATTCAGATTAGAGACTTTATAACGTTCCAAAAGATGTTGGGTGGAGGAGCAAATGGAGTGGTGCTTTTGCCTTTTTTTTTTTTTTTGGTAACACTGTTTTTATAAATAAAAGCTAAAAATGTCGAGGGACTTCGAGCGTCGTGTTAGTGACGTTTTTACTGCATGTTCATGCGCTGTTTTTTCCTTTGCATGTGTTTCAGTTTTTCTTTCCTACACTTAAAATGTCACTTCAGTTGAATCACAGTATTGTTTTTGATGAAGACATTCCAAATCACTCCAATATTTTATTTTTTATTTTGTGACAATTTTCAACTTTTGATCACATCAAGGTCACACACTTTTTGGCGCTGTACAAAATTCATAGCTTAATCATCAAAAAATTCACTGACAAAACCCCAAACCATAACATGACCGCTACCATGTTTCGTAGTCCGTAGGATGCACTTTATTTTTTTTTTTGGAAAGTTGCATTTGAGCTACACCAAAGTTTGTCTACAAGTGTTACAGCCAAAGAAAAATCTCTTGTCTTCAAGACTTGTTGAAGGAATCTGGTTCAGCCGTAGATAGTTTTTGTTTTCCTCAGTGACCCTTGTAGTTGATTTTCTTCAGAGGTTTGTTTTATTTCATTTAAAGAGGATAATAAATCTTTTTAAAACATTTTTATTTAGATACCTTGCACAACTCCGTCTTCTCATTTATTTGATCTGTAGATTCAGTTCATGTTTGAGAAATCATTGTTTTCTTTTAAAAACTGTAAGAAATAATTTTTGGTCCTGTAAAGGGTTAACAGTGTTATTGGCTGCAAGTATTCAATAGCTGTATAACAGTTTTTTTAGTTGCAGTAGTCTCTCGCTACGTCGCGGTTCGACTTTCGCGGTTTTGACTGGACATGACACACAATTGGCTGATTGATGGATGAGCTGCACGAGCGGCATGGATTGTTTATTTAAAATAAATAGTTTTAAATTATTTAGCACCTGCTGCACCTTTGTGCAGCACAGCATGTCATGATCATCTCTCTGCCACCTGCTGCTCTCTGCCACGCCCACTTCTCCACTGCAATTTAAATATTGTAATATTTTAAATGTAATTACAATGTATTTATTTTAAATTAGTTTTAGTCTATTTCAGTTTTTTCCAGAGAATTTCCACTTTTATGTGCACATTTTTTCATCTTTCAGCCTAATTGGGCACAATTGTGCTGTCTCCTTTTTCTTCTGGTAATTTAGGCTTTTTTCTGCTGTTTCATGTATATGAAACACACACACATATATATATATATATATATATATATATATATATATATATATATATA